TTTACTATGAAGATATATTCAAAATTTGAAAACTTTGATCAGAATAAACAATATTGGAAAGAAATAAGTGGAAAATTTGTGGACACAATGTCAGGGAAGTCGAGATTGCCATATTAGCGACTTTGATTTATCACTGTTGAGGGAATAACAGGCGCGCTCTCCAGAACCATAAAGCCTGAAATATGTAAATCAAAATTTTTTAATTTAATTACCTTGTCGGGGTAAAAATATTAAAATCCAAAACAATTATTCAACCTCGTCATGACTCAGAGTCCTTTTCGATATGACTGCTGACTATTTTATAATATTTTACTATTATGTAAAAAGTACCGAAATAAAAAATATAATTAAGTTATCGTCAATACCTATGAGGGAACATTGTTGTTCTTTTTACTCTTGTACAAGTTCTTGTACAAGAGTAACACAAACCGTAACTGTCTCTATTTTCCGCTTGTTACAACTTGTAATAAAGTTGTTACATTTTGGCTAAACGTGTTTATGACGTATTAGAACGTTGTTACAACTTGCTATATTGGTTGTTATAACTGGTTAGGTTGTGTTAAAACTTGTTCGAACGTTGTACCAACGTCGTAGTTCCGGTGTGTGTTTGGCGGGACGTTATTATTATTATTATTATAGTATTAATTTTTGCGTAGTTATTTGTAAAATACTTAAAATGTTGCACGCTGCAACTACACTGTTGTTTTAGTTACTTGTATCTGATTCCATTTTGTGCTAATAGCATTTTATTTACGAGATGTTTGAAATGGTGCAGAACTGTTTTGGTTGCTAATCTCCTGCCAATAGTTGAATAATCTGGAGTATTTTAGATAGAAATATCATTAAAATTGTTCATTAATACACAAGGAAAGTGTGTGTGTGGTAGAGAATCGGAGTGTGACACAGGTCTTTGTGGACATGTTGTACAGTAAACAAAAAATGTTAGTTATGGTAACTGTTTATTCAGCCCGTTTTCGTGAGCGTTCCCAACGTCAATAAACTCATGAACTAAATTGCTGGAATATAACCTAACTGAGGACCAAAGAATAGAAAACGGGACCTCACCAATATTACGAGCAGCTGTAACTGTTTTAGTACAGCTTTAATCAGTTTTTGGTCTTTTGGGATTTATACGTCAAGCTGGGATGTACTACTGAAGAGGACGTGTTGTTCACACCCACACTGACAACAATAACCACGAATCATCAAGCTGGGATGTACTACTGAAGAGGACGTGTTGTTCACACCCACACTGACAACAATAACCACGAATCATCAAGCTGGGATGTACTACTGAAGAGGACGTGTTGTTCACACCCACACTGACAACAATAACCACGAATCATCAAGCTGGGATGTACTACTGAAGAGGACGTGTTGTTCACACCCACACTGACAACAATAACCACGAATCATCAAGCTGGGATGTACTACTGAAGAGGACGTGTTGTTCACACCCACACTGACAACAATAACCACGAATCATCAAGCTGGGATGTACTACTGAAGAGGACGTGTTGTTCACACCCACACTGACAACAATAACCACGAATCATCAAGCTGGGATGTACTACTGAAGAGGACGTGTTGTTCACACCCACACTGACAACAATAACCACGAATCAGCGAAACTGTGAGTCTATATATCTGTCTTACACTCTGTATCTGCCATGGACCATCGCCGTCTGTACTAAACACCTCTGTACTTGTCACTATTCCAAACAATTACAGAGGTTGTATGTCTTATGATGACTCGATCTATTGCACTAAATATACTAATAAATAGTGCATTTTACTATTCAGGTTGACTCTCTACCTGACGAACTCGACACCTTAACTCTCAATTTGAATAAAAGACTGGTTAGTATTCAAAACTATTTAGTTTTTCCCTGTTGAAATCTACTAATAATAAAACTCAAACGAAAGATCTATTGTCTCAGTTTCCCAAGGATTTTAAAGCACTTGACAATATTGAACATTTCAAACTGTTTAGAGAATTAATTAGCATAAAAGTATGTCAAGCTATCTCTAGATATATGTATATTCAAGATCAGGTATGAAAAGTACCAATGAAATGGATTAATCTCATAAAATGTATCACATTAATTTTTTATGCTGTCCATCTTTATATTTTGTTGAAAGAGTTGAGATAATAAAGTCCTGGCTATCGCATAGGCAGTATTTATGGTAATGTTTTCTGTCATGGTAATGTAATCATATTGGCACCAGCCAAAAATTCTATCAACTTTTCTTATAAATATGTGAACCATGAAGTGTTGAATACAACCTTACGTTAAGTGCAGCCAAATGTGCTCTAGTTGTTCTTTACTCACTAGACTTGTTATATTCAGTTCTTAATCTAAAATTTCCAGGCAGAGATTTCAGTAAAGTATTTCGGAGCCAACGCTCCACACACACACTAACATTCCGGTCACCAGCACAAACAGAAGAGTCTGGGTTCAAGAGCTTGGGCATAACATCTACACCGAGCCAAATAACCAGGGAGAGGCATTTGCTACAAGAAAATGCGCCAAACAAGTGGTTTTTTAGTTTAGTTCATTTATTATGCACCCCATACCCATCTTGTGGGCGGTAGTGGAAAGGGTTACAGAGGCACATAATGGGCTCAGGGACTGAACCCCACAATTCATTTAGCTAAGCAAGTTACAGTCATGATAAACTAGTTACAAAATTCAATATACGTCGTCACATCATCAATGGGTTCGAGATCGACCACAAGTACAGATCCTAAATTTAGCAACTGACATATGTCAAGAGCTAGTGTCACAATTTATGTTTGTGCTGCACACCGCCTTTCCTTCCCCTCCCCCCCCCCCCCCCCCCCAATCCAGTGGGCAGCAGTGGATAGATCACTGTCACTTAATTACTACTTACAGTAAGCAAACTGGGGAAATTTGGCTAAAATTTCTGGTAGCAGATCATTTTGAATTAAACATTTACATATGTTTGTAAGATTGGTTATAGAATTGTCTCTAAATTCATGTATCTTTTCACACTCCATCACATAGTGACGGAGGGTGTGCGAATAATTTTGTTGACACAGTTTACATTTGGTCAGGTCTATATCAGCAGATAATGAAAAATTCCCAGATACTAGTAACCGAGTCTAAGCCGAGCAGTAGAAACATCTAGAAGTCTGCTGATTTTATTGGATGAACCATAGATGTGTGGCTCCTCTTGCATGATAGTATGATGATAGATGGAATTACTGGTATCGATTTCACTTTGCCTCAGATCTACAAGATTTTGTTGAAGCTCTTGGTGTACTGCTGCTCTCAGACTGCTTATTGACAATCCAAGGGTATACTCAATTTCTCCTTTAAAGGCAGATTCTTTGGCTAACTCATCAGCTCTATCATGCATTCGGAGGCCAACATGAGATGGAGTCCAAATAAAATGGACTCTGTTACCATCATTAATAATTTTGTTATATTTGTGTCTAGCTTCAGACACGAGCATTTTACAGTTATGTCTTAAAGAGTTGAGAGCAATTAAGAATGATGAAGAGTCACTTACAATTAATGTATCAAGTTTGGAGACTTGTACACATTTAAGTGTAAGAAGCAAGGCAAATAGTTCGGTCTGAAGGGTAGAAGTCCAGTTGTTTATACGGACCTCCCACTCAAAATATAAGCTATCGCCCATTGTCTGAACAACTGCACTTCCAGCTGCACCCATGGGGTGGTGTAGGGAACCATCAGTGTATATGGTTTGAGAGAGAGAGAGAATGCTTTGTGGAAGAACATCAACATGGCTTAAGGCATTGAGCTTTGCCCCAGGACGAAGCTTGGGCTGATCTTTAATTTGCTTCTTGGGTGGGAGGGGAAGGATTAAAATTGGAAAGGGTGTTATCTCCCACGGTGCAGTAAATTGCCGTTGTTGTCTCTCTTGAACAAGTGGGATAGTGCAGTATTTGTTCTGGTGAACACTACTTCAAGGACTGCACCAAGGAAAATACAAAAGACATCTTATGTGGAGCCGTATATTTAACATGAGCTATGAAAAACAAATGCAGTATCATCCAGAATTAGCCAAGGCGTTCTGGGTTCCTTCTCATACCATCCTCACAGAAAGCGACAAATCTACGCTGGCCAGTGAACTTTTCCACAAGGATTTCACCGAGCACAAGAAAGAACATCAGATGAAAACACGAAGCAAGACGAAGTAGAAGAAAGACTTCTACACCTAGAATAAAGAAGCACTGACACTGCCACCTTCCATGACCCGACTCAAAGCCTAGCCAGTTATGGGGTTGTTCCAGCATCGATTCCAGACACGCAGCTGGGTTTAGCCCTGGCTCTTTCTCGACAACTTCAGCGCCTCCTCTCACCGACTTCTCTTCAGCTGTCCTCACTTCAATGCTCGCCCAATGGGTATCTTGTCCTGAATGTTCGTATCTTTTGTAGACATCTATACTGCAACATCACCAAAATGCCCAAACCGAAACCAGAAATTATGAAAATTATGGAGGCCAAATAAGCCTCTTCCACCAGTCAAACATCAGCAACTTTCCGCTACCAGCCAATATAAAGTATAAAGTGTTTTTTAGCTGTACAGCTGTTGTCTTCAACTACAGCTGCACATCTGTTGTCTCCAGCCACAGATGTACAGCTGTTGTCTCCAGCCACAGCTGTACAGCTGCTGTCTCCAGCCACAGCTGTACAGCTGTTGTCTCCAGCCACAGATGTACAGCTGTTGTCTCCAGCCACAGATGTACAGCTGTTGTCTCCAGCCACAGCTGTACAGCTGTTGTCTCCAGCCACAGCTGTACAGCTGTTGTCTCCAGCCACAGCTGTACAGCTGTTGTCTCCAGCCACAGATGTACAGCTGTTGTCTCCAGCCACAGCTGTACAGCTGTTGTCTCCAACCACAGCTGTACAGCTGTTGTCTCCAGCCACAGCTGTACAGCTGTTGTCTCCAGCCAGAGCTGTACAGCTGTTGTCTCCAGCCACAGCTGGACAGCTGTTGTCTCCAGCCAGAGCTGTACAGCTGTTGTCTCCAGCCACAGCTGTACAGCTGTTGTCTCCAGCCAGAGCTGTACAGCTGTTGTCTCCAGCCACAGCTGTACAGCTGTTGTCTCCAGCCACAGCTGTACAGCTGTTGTCTCCAGCCACAGCTGTAACAAGACAGTGGACCCAGGTGTGAAGACAAGGGTAAGAGAGACCTTGGGTGATACACAACCTCCGCGGTCAGGCAGGAAAAACAATAACAAACGAGTCCTTTAATTAAACATTGAAGCAGGGCTGAGGAACCGCCCCCCCCCCCCACCCGGTTGCTCCAATGATCATCTCGTAGTTCCACTGTGAATGAGTTCTTTCTTCTAGTCAACTCCGCTCATGAATCTAAGCGGATGTCACCAGGACTGTCCTCAGGCAGGTCTTCGTAGCAGTAGGTGGCGACGGGGAGATCATTCACCACCAGCATGTTGGGGCGGCATCGCCAGTTGTCGGAGGGGGCGCAGGTGGCGTTGTAGATGGTGACCCCGTTCACCTTCACCTCCGTGAAGGTGAAGGGGCAAGGCCGCGTGTTCCATTTCTTCTGCAGAACAAGTTTCGTGTCCATTACATCACATCCATTATATCCAACCCGTCCTCCAGTTTAGACTGTACCTATTATGTCGGTTGTCAATAGTCACGAATTCGTACGACTTAGCTTTTAGATTGTAGTATACTGACTAGTAAGGAATTCTTTTAAAATAAATAAAGCTAAAAAACAATGTGTGTGCCAAGTATAGCACACATGTATATTATATTATTTATTTATTTATTTATTTATTTATATATATAAATCCTTATTTATTTATATAAATCCTCGCTATATATAGCGAAATCCTTGTGGAAAAGTCCACTGGCCATATAATTTATATATATATATATATATATTATCCTTAGGCCTCAAATATCGTGTATTAGGCCAAGGAAGGTTAGGTTAGGTTAGGTTAGTTTGTCAAAGCAGCACACGTAAAAAGTAGTTTTCAGGTTTGTCCATCTCAATAGTACAGATGTCTACTTTCTAATTTCGTTGTACGTCGGTATATATACTATGGTCCTCATCGTTACTATAGGTACAACCACAACAGGAGGATGGGCTGCTATATAACACACTGGAGAGAAGATCATTGTCAATTGTTATCATAGCAAAGCTTTTGGGGATCATAGCTGGCGTTGAGGAAGTGTGTAGACAATTATGGGAGGCTGCAGAGCAGAGCAGAGTAGAGTAGAGTAGAGTAGGGTAGAGCAGAGAAGCAGACGATCAGTATTAATCCTGATCTGGAAAATTAATAATTATTGTAGGAATTACCCAAGAAATTCCTTGCTTCTCTTTAGACAGTCTCAAGACCAGGTATCCCCGTCTTATCTAGACTCGTCATGTGTAACTGTCCACTGTCAACACTGGACAAATGTTGTCCTCTAGTTAACGATCAAGAAGATATTTGAGAACATAGAAATCGAAGACGACATATCAGGGAGAATGTTGTTTTAGAGAACTAGACGGAGATTATTCAGTTATAACAATTCAATGTCATGATAATTCATGGTGTTAGACAGAGGGAAGATGGTGTTAGACAGAGGGAGGAGGGTGTTAGACAGAGGGAGGAGGGTGTTAGACAGAGGGAGGAGGGTGTTAGACAGAGGGAGGAGGGTGTTAGACAGAGGGAGGAGGATGTTAGACAGAGGGAGGAGGGTGTTAGACAGAGGGAGGAGGGTGTTAGACAGAGGGAGGAGGGTGTTAGACAGAGGGAGGATGGTGTTAGACAGAGGGAGGAGGGTGTTAGACAGAGGGAGGAGGGTGTTGGACAAAGGGAGGAGGGTGTTAGACAGAGGGAGGATGGTGTTAGACAGAGGGAGGAGGGTGTTAGACAGAGGGAGGAGGGTGTTGGACAGAGGGAGGAGGGTATTAGACAGAGGGAGGAGGGTGTTGGACAGAGGGAGGAGGGTGTTAGACAGAGGGAGGAGGGTGTTCGACAGAGGGAGGAGGGTATTAGACAGAGGGAGGAGGGTGTTGGACAGAGGGAGGAGGGTGTTAGACAGAGGGAGGAGGGTGTTGGACAGAGGGAGGAGGGTGTTAGACAGAGGGAGGAGGGTGCTGGACAGAGGGAGGAGGGTGTTGGACAGAGGGAGGATGGTGTTAGACAGAGGGAGGAGGGTGTTAGACAGAGGGAGGAGGGTGTTAGACAGAGGGAGGAGGGTGTTGGACAGAGGGAGGAGGGTATTAGACAGAGGGAGGAGGGTGTTGGACAGAGGGAGGAGGGTGTTAGACAGAGGGAGGAGGGTGTTGGACAGAGGGAGGAGGGTATTAGACAGAGGGAGGAGGGTGTTGGACAGAGGGAGGAGGGTGTTAGACAGAGGGAGGAGGGTGTTGGACAGAGGGAGGAGGGTATTAGACAGAGGGAGGAGGGTGTTGGACAGAGGGAGGAGGGTGTTGGACAGAGGGAGGAGGGTGTTAGACAGAGGGAGGAGGGTGTTGGACAGAGGGAGGAGGGTGTTAGACAGAGGGAGGAGGGTGTTGGACAGAGGGAGGAGGGTGTTGGACAGAGGGAGGAGGGTGTTAGACAGAGGGAGGATGGTGTTAGACAGAGGGAGGAGGGTGTTGGACAGAGGGAGGAGGGTGTTAGACAGAGGGAGAAGGGTGTTGGACAGAGGGAGGAGGGTGTTGGACAGAGGGAGGAGGGTATTAGACAGAGGGAGGAGGGTGTTAGACAGAGGGAAGATGGTGTTGGACAGAGGGAGGAGGGTGTTGGACAGAGGGAGGAGGGTGTTGGACAGAGGGAGGAGGGTGTTAGACAGAGGGAGAAGGGTGTTGGACAGAGGGAGGAGGGTGTTGGACAGTGGGAGGAGGGTATTAGACAGAGGGAGGAGGGTGTTAGACAGAGGGAAGATGGTGTTAGACAGAGGGAGGAGGGTATTAGACAGAGGGAGGAGGGTATTAGACAGAGGGAGGAGGGTGTTAGACAGAGGGAGGAGGGTATTAGACAGAGGGAGGAGGGTGTTAGACAGAGGGAGGAGGGTGTTAGATAAGGGGAGGAAGGTGAGACAAACAGTAGGACACTAACAAGCAGGCATACACTAGGGCACTAACAAGCAGGCATACAATAGGAGCGTGAGACGCCCAATAAGGACATTACCAAGCAAAGCTTGTGTGTGGACATACCATGGGTTTAGCGAGGTTATGTTGCCTGTACGAACATGCCTTGTTTATGTCCCAGTCTCCGCCAACTGTGTACAGAAAGAGGTTGTTGTTTTAGATTCAGTTACTGGGAACAAAAAGTTCCAAGTAGCATGAGCTATGGTGAGTCCGTAGTGGACTTACCTGGCACAAGAGTGGGGCTGTAACTGAGTAAAAGGAGTCGGCGTGAGACAGTTGTAGCGGTATTATGGACGTGTTCGGCCAGCGGGTTATACTTCCTCTCGTCGACGTGTTCGGCCAGCGGGTTATGCTTCCTCTCGTCGGCGTGTTCAGCCAGCGGGTTATACTTCCTCTCGTCGACGTGTTCGGCCAGCGGGTTATACTTCCTCTCGTCGACGTATTCGGCCAGCGGGTTATACTTCCTCTCGTCGACGTGTTCGGCCAGCGGGTTATACTTCCTCTCGTCGACGTGTTCGGCCAGCGGGTTATACTTCCTCTCGTCGACGTGTTCGGCCAGCGGGTTATACTTCCTCTCGTCGACGTGTTCGGCCAGCGGGTTATACTTCCTCTCGTCGACGTGTTCGGCCAGCGGGTTATACTTCCTCTCGTCGACGTGTTCGGCCAGCGGGTTATACTTCCTCTCGTCGACGTGTTCGGCCAGCGGCTTAGGATTCCTCTCGTCGACGTGTTCAGCCAACGGGTTATGCTTCCTCTCGTCGACGTGTTCAGCCAGCGGCTTGGGCTTCCTCTCGTCGACGTGTTCAGCCAGCGGCTTGGGCTTCCTCTCGTCGACGTGTTCAGCCAGCGGCTTGGGCTTCCTCTCGTCGACGTGTTCAGCCAGCGGCTTGGGCTTCCTCTCGTCGACAAAACCAATAAATCTAATTTTCAAGGAGAAAGTTCTACGGCAGTCTAACTGTGAGGGGCGAGTGTAGGAGCCGTCCTAAATGATAGGAGCGTCAAGGATCGAACGTCGGTCCTATATAAAGCAAGGCCGTCGCTGCACGTAGTTAAATACTACAGTTTGATGAAAGCAGAAGTGCATCGTGCATTAATTTGTGAAGTTATAGGATAAGAATTGATAAGAGAAAATGCTCAATTATACACAAATATTATCAACAAAATCTTAGTCAGTGCACAAATGATTATTCTTGGATTCCAGTTGGGCCAGATTCATGAAGCAGTTACGCAAGTACTTACGAACGTGTACATCTTTCTGCAATCTTTGACGGCTTTGGTTACATTTATTAATATAAACAGTTTACAAGCAATCAACTTGCCAATCAACTGTTGTTATTGATATAAACAGCCTCCTGGTGCTTCCGAGCTCATTAACTGTTTAATAATTGTAAACAAAGCCGTGAAAAATTGAGAAAATATGTACAGGTTCGTAAGTGCTTGTATAACTGCTTCGTGAATCAGGCCTTAGACACGTGTCCTGCCTTACCCTTGATGCTTCTGCTCCAACTAGCAGTAAATAGGTACATCTGGAAGGATTAAGGTGGCTGTTGTGGCATGCATCCTGGGGAACAGTCAGCTGGTGGATAATGAGAGCTCATTAAGGCCAGGAGCATATCCTATCAACGGTAAAAACATATCCTGCCTCCGGTGAGGGATTTATATCCTGATTCATTAAGGCTTTTTATGTAACACTTTATCTCCAGTAAAGTTCACTCAATTATAAAGCTAAAATTACGTCGTGAAGCAGGCCGGAGTTTTAGCATCACGCGCTCTGTGACGCAATCAAAGGGGTTTGTGAAACTGTTCGTCGATAATTCTTGACGCAAGAGTTAATTTATAAACTGTCACTTCTACCCTCGCTTTATCTCTACTGTCTCGCTTCATGCAGGTCGGCGTTCAATCCTCGACCCTCCATGTGGTTGGGCATCATTCTTTTCTTATGTTTTTTTATTTATATATAATTCAAAAGTTGTTACATTCTTGTAAACCCTCTAGCACGCATAGCGTTTCTGGCAGATCCTTAAGGTCTTTAATCTTAACCATTCCTTCCCCCCGTCCCATCCTACCTAACCTAACCTACCCAACCTAACCTAACCTAACCTAACCTACCCAACCTAACCTAACCTAACCTAACCTACCCAACCTAACCTACCCTAACCTAACCTACCCAACCTAACCTACCCTATCTTAACCAAAGCTAAACAAACATAATTAAGTCAGTAATTCATGTTGCTAGAATAATATATAACATTTCAAATAAACCCAATGAAAATTTTGTTTTGAAAATAACGAAAATCACTGCCTATTAGGCTAATCGGGCATTGCATACTAGGCCGAGTAGTAGGTTCTGGCTATAAGGTACGACACACACACCTGGAGCAGAGACATACCTGGAGCGGAGGCAGCAGGCAGCAGACAGCAGGAGACCAGCAGCAGCAGCACACAAGGGGAGACCATCTCTGTAAACCGGTATAATTGGGATGTTTACAATAATTATGGTAATATTTATGGTAATTCAAGCAAAATGATTATTATCAATAACACATTTAACAATAAAGAAATTATTTACGAAGCATACACAATAAATAGTTATGTTTGCTCCATAGTTAAGGAGTTAACGTATATGTACATGTACAGAGAGAGAGAGAGAGAGAGAGAGAGAGAGAGAGAGAGAGAGAGAGAGAGAGAAGAGAGAGACAGAGAACAAGAGAGAGAGAGAGAGAGAGAGAGAGAGAGAGAGAGAGAGAGAGAGAGCAAGAGAGAGAGAGCAAGAGAGAGGGAGAGAGCAAGAGAGAGAGAGAGCAAGAGCGAGGGAGAGAGAGAGCAAGAGAGAGTGAGAAAGAAAGAGAGAGAGAGAGAGAGAGAGAGAGAGAGAGAGAGAGAGAGAGAGAGAGAGAGAGAGAGAGAGAGACAGACAGACAGACAGACAGACAGACAGACAGACAGACAGACAGACAGACAGACAGAGACAGACAGACAGACAGACAGACAGACAGACAGACAGACAGACAGACAGACAGACAGACAGACAGAGACAGAGGGGGGAGTGTGTGTGGGTTACTTAAGTGGCCTCAACTTAACCAGATGATTTTTCTGTTTTAGATAATAAGATAGTGATGGTGTACCTGAAGCTGAAGAGACAGGTACTACTCTTCTGGCCAGTAAACCAAGAGAAGTATTGAACAAGGAGGCGCTGCAGACGACCGCTGGACGAGTAGCTGAGGACGCACAAGGAGAAACCTCGTCTCTGTACCTTCTCGACAACAGCGGCAAGACTGACCGCTGGACGAGTAGCTGAGGACGCACAGGAGAAACCTCGTCTCTGTACCTTCTCGACAACAGCGGCAAGACTGACCGCTGGACGAGTAGCTGAGGACGCACAGGAGAAACCTCGTCTCTGTACCTTCTCGACAACAGCGGCAAGACTGACCGCTGCCGGCAAGAGACGCCGGTTATATGAGCGGCGACCACCGCCTGGCTCACATCACCCGCGGGAGGCAAACGTTTCCTCTCGTCTATATTCCCATAAACCGTCTTGACGCTTAAATGTTCATACGTGTACGCCCTATTTGCCTAATAAGCCAAGTTTTACTGAATTAATGTTTTTTCCACTGCCTAACCTACCTAACCTAACCTAACCTAACTTTTTCGGCTACCTAACCTAACCAAACCTATAAAGATAGGTTAGGTTAGGTTAGGTAGGGTTGGTTAGGTTCGGTCATATATCTACGTTAATTTTAACTCCAATAAAAAAAATTGACCTCATACATAATGAAATGGATAGGTTTATCATTTCATAAGAAAAAATTAGAGAAAATATATTAATTCAGGGAAAACTAGGCTTATTAGGCAAATCGGGCCCTGCATATTAGGCCGAGAAGTGCGTTCTGGCTACTATATATATATATATGTCGTACCTAATAGCCAGAACGCACTTCTTAGCCTACTATTCAAGCCCCGATTTGCCTAATAAGCCAAGTTTTCATGAATTAATGTTTTTTCGTCTACCTAACCTACCTAACCTAACCTAACCTAGCTTATTTTGGCTACCTAACCTAACCTTACCTATAAATATAGGTTAGGTTAGGTTAGGTAGGGTTGGTTAGGTTCGGTCATATATCTACGTTAATTTTAACTCCAATAAAAAAAATTGACCTCATACATAGAGAAAAGGGTTGCTTTATCATTTCATAAGAAAAAAATTATAGTAAATATATTAATTCAGGAAAACTTGGCTTATTAGGCAAATCGGGCCTTGAATAGTAGGCTGAGAAGTGAGTTCTGGCTACTAGGTACGACATATATATATATATATATATATATATATATATATATATATATATATATATATATATATATATATATATATATATATGTCGTACCTAATAGCCAGAACGCACTTCTCAGCCTACTATTCAAGGCCCGATTTGCCTAATAAGCCAAGTTTTCATGAATTAATGTTTTTTCGTCTACCTAACCTACCTAACCTAACCTAACCTAGCTTTTTTTGGCTACCTAACCTAACCTTACCTATAAATATAGGTTAGGTTAGGTTAGGTAGGGTTGGTTAGGTTCGGTCATATATCTACGTTAATTTTAACTCCAATAAAAAAAAATTGACCTCATACATAGAGAAAAGGGTTTGCTTTATCATTTCATAAGAAAAAAATTATAGTAAATATATTAATTCAGGAAAACTTGGCTTATTAGGCAAATCGGGCCATGAATAGTAGGCTGAGAAGTGAGTTCTGGCTACTAGGTACGACATATATATATATATATATATATATATATATATATATATATATATGTCGTACCTAGTAGCCAGAACGCACTTCTCAGCCTACTATGCAAGGCCCGATTTGCCTAATAAGCCAAGTTTTCATGAAATAATGGTTTTTCGTTTACCTAACCTACCTAACCTAACCTATCCTAACGTTTTCTGCTACCTAACCTAACCTAACCTATAAAGATAGGTTAGGTTAGGTTAGGTAGGGTTGGTTAGGTTCGGTCATATATCTACGTTAATTTTAACTCCATTAAAAAAAAAATTGACCTCATACATAATGAAATGGGTAGCTTTATCATTTCATAAGAAAAAAATTAGAGAAAATATAATATTTCATGAAAACTTGGCTTATTAGGCAAACCGGGCCTTGCATAGTAGGCTGAGAAGTGCGTTCTGGCTACTAGGTACGACACATATATATATATATATATATATATATATATATATATATATATATATATATATATATATATATATATATATATATATATATACATATATATATATATATATATATATATATATATATATATATATATATATATATATATATATATATATATATATATATATATATATATATATATATAGAGCACGTCTTACCATGTAACTCAGATTGTATACTTTAAGCATACACGAACGTACGAGCTTATAACATTACCAATAATTGTGAAAAACGTACGTTTCTTATTTTACAATTCCGCCCAATTTCATTTGATTTCTGAATTCGTCTCCATAGCGGATATATACTGAAACGTTGAGCGGGGAGCCTGATAACTCACTCCAAATTCAATTCAGGCGAGGACGTTCGAGTCAAAATATTATCGCTACTTCCTTGTCTATTGAAGGTTTGTTTATGGTCCCTGGTTATTGTATAGTATATTGGCCATGGATCCGGTTAGGTTAGGTTAAGTTAGGTTAGGTAAGGTTAGGTTAGATTAGGTTTGTTGAGGTTAGGTTAGGACACTGTATTAGTGTACTTGACAAGAGGCTGGTGTGAGGACACTGTATCAGCGTACTTGACAAGAGGCAGGTGTAAGGACACTGTATCAGCGTACTTGACAAGAGGCTGGTGTGAGGACACTGTATCAGCGTACTTGACAAGAGGCAGGTGTAAGGACACTGTATCAGTGTACTTGACAAGAGGCAGGTGTAAGGACACTGTATCAGCGTACTTGACAAGAGGCTGGTGTGAGGACACTGTATCAGCGTACTTGACAAGAGGCAGGTGTAAGGACACTGTATCAGTGTACTGGACAAGTGGCTGGTGTAAGGACACTGTATCAGCGTACTTAACAAGAGGCTGGTGTAAGGACACTGTATCAGCGTACTTGACAAGAGGCTGGTGTGAGGACACTGTATCAGTGTACTTGACAAGTGGCTGGTGTGAGGACACGGTATTAGTGTACTTGACAAGAGGCTGGTGTGAGGACACTGTATCAGCGTACTTGACAAGAGGCTGGTGTGAGGACACGGTATTAGTGTACTTGACAAGTGGCTGGTGTAAGTACACTGTATCAGTGTACTTGACAAGTGGCTGGTGTAAGTACACTGTATCAGTATTGGACAGGAGGCAGGTGTAAATACACTGTATCAGTGTACTTGACAAGAGGCTGGTGTAAGGACACTGTATCAGTGTACTTGACAAAAGGCTGGTGTAAGGACACTGTATCAGTGTACTTGACAAGAGGCAGGTGTAAGGACACTGTATCAGTGTACTTGACAAGTGGCTGGTGTGAGGACACTGTATCAGTGTACTTGACAAGTGGCTGGTGTGAGGACACTGTATCAGTGTACTTGACAAGAGGCTGGTGTGAGGACACTGTATCAGTGTACTTGACAAAAGGCTGGTGTAAGGACACTGTATCAGTGTACTTGACAAGTGGCTGGTGTGAGGACACTGTATCAGTGTACTTGACAAGTGGCTGGTGTGAGGACACTGTATCAGTGTATTTGACAAGTGGCTGGTGTAAGTACACTGTATCAGTCTATTGGACAGGAGGCAGGTGTAAATACACTGTATCAGTGTACTTGACAAGAGCCTAAAGTAAGGACAGTTAAAATTGAAATTGAAAGAGTTAATTTTAAGGGCCTTTGTTTACATTTTTTTGGGATTAATTTACACAAATTTACAGTAAATGTAATAATAATCAGATGACGTAATATCTTTAAACATCAGCAGTATACTCAATATTTAGATTTAGATTTCCAATTTACATTTATCAATCATTACACTTGTCAAATTCTGAATGAGAAACTGTTCTGAATGAGAAACTATTCTGAATGAGAAACTATTCTGAATGAGAAACTGTTCTGAATGAGAAACTGTTCTGAATGAGAAACTATTCTGAATGAGAAACTGTTCTGAATGAGAAACTAACGGCTAAAAACGTAGGTGTACATCAGTCTAAATTATCACAATAACGGCTGAACTTAACAGGTGAACATCAGTCTAAATTATTACAATAATGGCTGAACTTAACAAGTGAACATCAGTCTAAATTATTACAATAACGGCTGAACTTAACAGGTGTACATCAGTCTAAATCAAACTTTACATTATGGCTTTAAGTGAGTAACATTCAACTTACAATATGAAAGGAGAGATCGGTATATTGGAAAACTTTAGTGTAGTTTACCATTATAGTAGTGAGAAGTTTACCATTATAGTAGTGAGAAGTTTACCATTATAGCAGTGAGAAATATCGACACATTCTACAAAAAATAGGAAGACGAAGAAAACAATTTACATGACTGATGTGAACGAATCATTCGACGAATTTACATAAAAAATTACATTCACACCCTCAGCTTACACAATCAACAGAGTCAAGGACAATCCCGGATCACAATCACTTCAATCACACAACTTTTGCAACATAAAGATCTGACTTCACTGGAACTCAAAATGCCAGTCAGTAAACCATTTTCTGGTGACAGAAGTTTCTTTAATTTTACAATTATTCAGCATGTAGAGGGAGGGTCTCCCCCTCCTTCCTCTGTTGACCTGTGACCGCTGAGGTCACCCAAATTGTTCCGCGCCGAGGTCTAGTCACGGCTCGTGACATCACTGATGGTGACAACTCATTATTCTAACAATCAGGATACTCTTGATACTATAAACAGAAATACTATACAATTTGAATGAAGAGTAATTTCTCTAAATTAGTGAATTCTGTAAAATAATTCATTATACGAAACTGAACAAAGCGCCATATTTTCACATCCACTCCCCCCCCCCATAGGGGGTGCGACCATGTGCTCGGGTCACCACACGTGGGTCCAGCTTCCCGTTCTCCCATGCGTTGATAAAACATTCTAGATCATTCCTACAACAGCTAGTTTGTTACAATATCATGTTTATTACTATTATATAATCAATAAATGAACTTAGGAGAAATGCTAACCCCAGATTTTAGAGACAAACTTTACATATAATGTGTAGGTTTCATGTAAATTTAGTAAACAATGAAAGAGTTATACGAAGATTTATGTTACTTGAAAAAAAAATAAGTAAAAAATAAAGTCTAAGGTGCTACCATCTGTGGCTGAGGTTGACATCAACCAATTTCCTGGCCCCCTTGGCGCCCTTACAGATAGGCTTACGTGCAGTCACGTGTATAAGTTTCATGCAAATCGTCTGATAAACTAATAAGAAAAATACAATTGAAAAAAAAAATTAACTTATTTTTTTTAATAAAACTATTTATATTTTTGTTTTAATATTTGCTATTGTAATAGCTGCGAGTCGTAGACATGATTTCATTTGACACTTGTGTTTGATAATCGTTTTTCACCATTTTGGAAAATTATTGACACATAATTCAATATTTGTTTCTTCCTTCCTATTTATGCTACGATGCTGAGACTTGGACCAGATGAAACCCTTTTCATATACAATTTGTCAAAAAAGTTTTATTGAAATCAAACCATTTTGAAAAACGTACCTAATGACCCCGTAAATTACGGGTTATTCATGCTCGTGCCACCTCTCGAGTGGCTTATTCTTCATCAATAAATCAGTCGTTAAATGTGACCAAGAGGCCGATAAGTTACGGATGAGTACTTGGATAAGTTACTAGGAGGTGAGGGAGGGAATTACCAGGGAAAGCGCCAAGCCATTAGACTATATATAGCACTTAGAAGGAGGTCAGGGATCAATATACCACCCCACCAAATGAAAAAAGAACGATATCACGAGCTCCGACAGTGCTTCAAGTGCTACGACCTCTCCCACTCCGCTTCACGCAGGTCGGCGTTCAATCCCCGACCGTCCAAGATGTTAGGCACCATTCCTTTCCCCCATCCCATCCTAAATTCTTATCCTGACCCCTTCCAAGTGCTATATAGTTATAGTGACTTAGCGCTTTCCCCTGAAAATTCCCTTCCCTTCCCTTCCATCTGTAAATCAACAACCCATCACTGCCTCCTCTGTAACAGCAGTCACCCTGCGATTTAACACCTCTGCTCCCGCAGACAGGAAAAATCAAGGCCCAGGTTGAAGCCAAGAAAAGCAACCTTTCTAACCCCGCCACCAGAGCCCCTGACGCTATACCCAACACCTCAGCTCCCACCAACCAACCAGAAGACTTCCCAGTCATACCAAGCAGTGATTTCTCCCACCAGTCGACCCAGGCATCACACTAGGGACCCAAGACCCAACCAGCACCCTCGCCACCCCTTGTATCACGTGCCGGCATTATCCCTGGTCTTATACGACTAGCGGAGAGGCTTGCCGGACCAGACACCACCGATTCATCAGGGAACATAATGGGCTGTACCTAGCCAATGGCCTGCACCCCATTACAGCCCCTGACGTAAGTGTCACTACTTCCCCTACCGCACAGGAGACTTCCACAAGGTCGACCACTAGGTCGATCTCAACTCAGACTTCAGCTCCGCTAAAGACCCAGGCTGCACCAACAGCAGCATCCTCCAATCCAGCCCCAAAAGCTCCCACCATCACCGTCTTAGCAGAGGCGCTCGCAGACGTGCTCTCTCTGACCACCCACAACACCACCAACGTGACCGAACCAGCTTCTTCCACAACTCATCGACTCCAGAGCCAACCTCTGGCTGAGAGACCACAACCACCAACAACGGACTACGCCACGGACCCCTCAGACGAGGACCTCTCAGTAAGAGCTCAATCACCGCGACACTTCCCCTACTACAAGATCTCCTCATGGAGGCCACATCACCCAACCCCACAATGACAGCACAGCCATGTCCACTCGCAGCAAGTCTCAGGCTAAGAACAAACGGGAGACCTGGAGGCCTTCACTAACTCACCAGCTCTATAGTTGGTATAGCTTTACCTTCGAGACAGCCCCCCCCCCCCCTTTCCTTCCACCAGCCTCATTCCTCCATCCCCCCACCCCCCTCAAAAAATCCATCCATCTACATATCTCCAGTATCTGCTATTGGTACTAGTAATAGCTCCAAAGTGCCTCCACTTACGGGCTATTCATGTCCGTGCCATCTTTTGGGTGGCTTAATCTATATCATCATCATTGGAGTCAGGGTAAGGATTTGGGATGGAACGTGGGGATGGGAATAGTGCCCAACCACTTGGACGGTCGGGGATTGAACGTCGACCTGCATGAAGCGCGACTGTCGCTCTACCGTCCCGCCCAAATGAGTGAATATTGCTGACAGCAAAACTGTGTCAGCTCTGAAGATGCATCGGACAAATTGCTTTAATATCATAAACAATGTTTTGTGTAGCCATTTTGAGCAAGAGTTGATTAATGCCATAAGTAATAGTCAGTACAGTTTGTTGCTAGATGAGTCTAATGGCATTACAGTTCCGAAGTTATTAGGAGTAGCCACGATGACCAAACTACATATCAGAAGATGGAGAAGCGACGACATTTCGGTCCGTCCAAGTCCATTCGTATATCATCATGCGACTTGATAGTGGTCTAGGACAGACCGAAACGTCGTCGCTTCATCCTGAGCACTCTAGGTGCAAACTCTGTGAGCAGGAACTGGGGTCATGATCTGGCACACTTTCACCGAATATCTAGTTATCAGACCATTCAGACCCGTTTACATGAGGTACCTGGATCTTTGCAATTATTCACTCTGGAGTTCTTGAGGATATCCTCATATTGCACCCAAAATTTGCCAGTGCAAGCTGTTGAGCATAAACGCCCTGTATGACTAACCATCCTGCGAGATGGGTACTTTTAGTATCACTGTTACCTTATTCACTCCTGTGTTCATTATCCTCATAATGCACCAAAAGTTTACCAGTGCAGACTATTTATCACGTGCCTCTGTATGACTAACCATCTTGTGTGATGGGGATCTTTAGCATGACGTAGTTAGCTTCTTGACACAATGTACATCCCTTCATATAGTTTAGGGCAGCTGTACAAATGCAGATGTACCTAAATGTGTTAATGAAAAAAGTAACTTCTTCATGTTGTGATGTGGTTTGGTCATCATCTCTTCAGCCACGATATTGCCACTCATCGTCAGCATAGAAGTGTGCATTATTTATCATTATAAAGATCATTATAAAGCTGAGTCAGGGAGGCCTGACGGCTAAGTGGACAGCACTTGGGATTCGTAGTCCTAAGGTTCCGGTTTCTATCTCCGGCTGAGAAGGAAACAAATGGGAAGAGTGCACCCCTGATGGCCCTGTTCACCTAGCAGTAAATAGGTACCTGGGGGTTAGACAGCTGCTACGGGCTGCGTCCTGGGGATGTGTAACAAAAAGGAGACCTGGTCGAGGACCGGACCGCGGGGACGCTAAGCCCCGAAATCGTCTCAAGATAACCTCAAGATAACATGTCTTGGACTGGTTCTGTTTGAAAAATGAGATGTTGAGAGTACTGTAAAGGGAATTAAATTATTATTATCGAATAAAAAGTTGGACTTAAGAACCTTGTTGGAATAGGAACGAGTATTATGACTTGAATTAATAACGAAGATTACGCAGTATTAAAAGAGGAAGTTCCATCAATCATTTTAATAACATGTGGTCGCAACTCCATACAGTAGGCAGATCCTCACGCACACATTTTAATGTCTACTCAGAAATTTGGGTAGATATTCAACGAGTTTCTCAGTACACAAACCCACAAATGGTTCTTTCACTCCGCTGTTAGAGAAGTTGAATGTAAAAGGTTATTTGAATCTCGCAATGCTGGATTACCTGCTGACGTTTGAACAAGGCGGTTGTCTATTCAACCAGCTGTGGGTCGAATATTTATATACAATCGTCAGAATTGAAGGATCATTTTAAGAAAACGAGAAAAATTTAAAGGTCTTACTCAGCTGAAATTATTTTTGACATGTATTCAGAAACTTTTTTTTAAGCATTTCTGCTTTTTAGGCGAATTGTACTTAGTCAAGTGCAGAGTCAACAAATTATTTGAGTCCAAAAACATTGATAAAGTTGCTGGATGATCTACTTCTGCTTTTTAGATCAACTATAAACAAAGTTGTGATTCCTACCTGCAATGTTAATTTGCTCACATGCAATATTAAAGAATGTTTGCACCAAAGCCATATCTGGGATACCTCATTTAAACAAAAGTCAAAGAAGTAAAAGGGAATAAACTTATTACAAGAAATGAAGAATATATTTTGAGACACCGAACTCAATGTTTTTTCTTACCTCTGTTCTAACAGTGCAGTCATCGGCTGCCTGATCAAACAAAACTGTTTTAGCATATAATACATTCAAGCCAAGCCAAGTCTTCAGTTTGTGAAGTTATCAAGCATTTAGATGCTTCACAAGAAATAACAGTTAAAGCTGAAGACCAATTAGCAGAAATAAATTGATTAGAGTAATTAAAAACATACATACATATTCTGAGAAAGGTTCTTCAATGTGCAGATCCCGCCGGTTCAAATCTATGTGAAGAAATTAGCAACTATGTCATCTATACCTTAATATTACCGGATTCAAATGCTGAAATGGAAAAAGTATTCAGCTTTATAAACTACATAAAATCTTAACCGAGAAATGAGATGAAATTAGAACGCTAAAGACCATTTTGATGGTCCAATTCAGTTTATCCAGATTAGAGAAACGTTGCAACTCTCGCGACCTACCAGTCCAACCACTTGAGCTGGACGGTAGAGCGACGGTCTCGCTTCATGCAGGCCGGCGTTCAAAACCCCTACCGTCCAAGTGGTTGGGCACCATTTCTTCCCCTCCGTCCCATCCCCATTCCTTATCCTAATATTGTTGTTTTTGTTTTAGATTCACCTTCTCGGAACAAAAGTTCCAAATAGCAAGGGATATGGTGAGTCCGTAGTAGACTTACCTGGCTATGCTATCCTGATATCTTCCCAGTGCTATAGTCTCTAGGTGGAATGGCGCTTCATACCGGTCCCATTCCAAATCCTTATATCATGATTTCTTTCAAGTGCTATACAGTCGTAATGGCTTTGCGCTTTCCCTTCTCGCGATCTACCATCTAAGGTGCTGAATGACTTGATAACGATCGCTGCAGACAGAAAGATCTTGAAGTTCCTTCTCAACCAGGCCCATCTATACTGCTGAGGTTCAAGAGGACGAGTTTTGGGTTTTATTTACTGTAGAATGTTGTTGTTAAAGATTCGCTACTTGGAACAAAGTTCCAAGTAGCACGGGCTATGGTGAGCCCGTAGATATTACTGTAGAAGTATCATAGTAGACTAATATTATTAATCTTTACTATTTCACTGAATTTCAGAGTTATTATATTATTATTTTTTTCAAAAACTGTGTCGGAGGACTATTTATGCGTTATAAATTGTTAAAGATTATTTCTTAGATAATCTCATATCAGGCCTGACACGAGACTGTTTAAGATCAAGTACGTTTATTGAGACAATAAAATACATCTCACAGGTAGAGTAGCTGAGGCTATTTCTATCCGCAATGAAATTGTTGTGAACACGTTGATGGACTCACCAGATGAGTCCTGAACGTTTCCTCCATGCCCAGTTAAGCTCACCAAGATCACCATTGTGAATGTCCCAAAGTTCACATCTTCACATCCATACAACCTGAGATGGTGTTAAATCATTGGGTTTTCGACCACGTATCAAGACTGAATTCACTCATAATAAATTCTGTTCTGACTTTTTAGGTCTTTAATAGTATCAGAAAAATTTACAAATTGACAGTGTGTCCGTGTAGTTGACAAGAGGCTGGTGGAGTGTATAATAGTAATAATAATAATAATAATAATAATAATAATAATAATAATAATAATAATAATAATAATAATATAATAATAATATAATAATAATAATAATAATAATAATAATAATAATAATAATAATAATAATAATAATAATAATAATAATAATAAATAATAATAATACACAGAGAATAATCTCAGTAATGTGACTGCATGAACGAGAAAATCCGTAGCAGCCGTGATTAGGATTCGAACCTATGCGGTGTTTAGTCCCCCGCACACGCCTCGGACAATCAGACTACGACATGGTCAAAAGGATTGCAACTTGACACAAGAGGATTTCCTGAGGTTTCTACTGAAGCCGGAACAGGATTTTCACACAATCCCCCCCCCCCCCCTGCACTCTGGCTCTGTCATCTAGGGATGTTCTACCTCTAACACTCTTCTTAGAAGCGTCAAGGAAAGTAGTAGAAGCCTCAGAAAATCCTCGTGTGTTCAGTAGAACTCCAGGTCGCAATCCTTTTTACCATGTCGTGTCTAGTCGCTAGAGCGTGTGCATCAGAACACCCAGAGCATAGGTTCGAGCCCTTATCACGGCTCCTACAGATTATCTCATTGATGCAGTTACGTTATATTGCCGTGATTACTCCGTGTAATAATAATATAATCAATAATAATAATAAGAGTACAAACTTTGCCGATCATAATTAAATGTTCCAAACATATTTTGGAAAATATTATATAAATCATTAAGTGAATATGGTCATATATTGTTATATGTATACTATAGATATATACCCAGAGTGGAGTATCCAGCTTTTCGGTTTATATACTCAGAATATACTTCATTCCTGAACTAAGTTTAAGACAAAAATATACTTGCTGGATGGTCAGTAAGCTCTTGTGGACTGCGAGTGGCCCTAACACCAAGACCATATGGTATATATTCCAAGTAAACTGTATAGAGTGTAATTCTTCCTAAGTATATCCAACATAAAACCTGTTCACCGTAGCGGGGGTGACTATGCTGTCCAGCATCAAACTTGATGCTTAATTCCACTTCAGAAAGCTTACTTACGCTTCACGCAGCGTACTTACACTTCAGGGAGAGATACCAACCTAACTTTAATGTCGATGAACTGGCAAAAATCAACCTTAACTTGGTCAAAAATCTACCTAAACTTTGTTGGACAAAATTGTGTTTAAAGATAAAACAAAGATTTGACAAAATTTATGTTATTATTATTATTATTATTATTATTATTATTATTATTATTATTATTATTATTATTATATTATTATTATTATTATTATTATTATTATTATTATTATTATTATTATTATTATTAATTATTATTATTATTATTATTATTATTATTATTATTATTATTAATTATTATTATTATTATTATTATTATTATTATTATTATTATTATCATTATTTTTGGGGTTAATATTTGAGATAACAGCAGAGCTGAACACAGCAACTTCCTGTGAAAGCAAAATTGACGTGGAAATTTCACAGAATTCGATAAAGCTCAGAAACATCTGAAAGTTCTTCCTGCTTCCGGCTGATAGTGACACGGCCCCTCGCTGCTCGTGACGTCACCAGTAGGGTCTAAAATGTTCCCAAAAAGAAAAGTGTCACTCGACATGAGTGTGACGTCAACAGTAGTGACGTCACACAATTACAGATACGTACATAAACAATTACTAATTGCTCCGTTATTTTCCTGGTCTTACCAGCGTATATTAACCGTGAGAAATGGTACAGGCTATTCTGATCCTTTAAATCCATTGGGATGAAAATACAAGGTTGTTTCAGCGATGAAATATGTATTTAAATAACTGGCACAGGCTCTGGACCTAGATTCAGGAAGCTCTGTGTATTTCTTCGTAAGTGGGTTTGCTACGAAGGTTCCTAAGTGCGCCCTAAGAAGATGCTTAATTAGGTGCAATTCAATAAGGTATACTTAGGAAGAAAATTGTTGGTTCACCTGCGTGCCGATAGAGGTCACTACTGTGTTTCGTTTGGCCAATCAGAGAGCAGCAACATTCTTCATATTGAAGATTTAGCGCTGGCTTATCGCAGCTCTACTGCCTCCTATTTACGTCGAATTTTCCTATAAAATTAGTATATTTCGAAGTAAAACAATGTTTTTTCAACTTCTACAGCCAGCACCGACATTGTAGTAAACAAATATGTTACATTTGTTGTTTACCTACGTAATTCTAAGAGATACTGTGTAGCTGTCCTTGTTGCTCGGAAGATGCGCTGACAATTATTGTATATATTTACTGAATTTACCCAAGGGCCACTAACTATCTAGTGACCTCGAAGAGGACAGAAAGCCGGCGGCTTGCTAAAGGGCCCGCCAATTGTCTTAATGATATTTTTTAGCTGGAATTTGGCATTTACGGCTTCAGCGGGTAGGCGGTTCCATGGGTTTATAGCCCTCTTGGTGGAAAAAAAAACATCTGTTTTCAGTCCTACTTGAAAGAACATACTCTCCAACACTATATCTGTGATTGTCCTGTTATCAGTGACTTCATACCAAATGGTATGAGGTATTTTGAGCTCTGTAATTACTTCATACACTCAGGAATATTGGAAGATATTCTTGTGCTGCACCCAGATTTTGCCAGTGGAGGCTAATAGATCAGCATTAAGTATTTTGTTCTCTCCTAATTCCATGTATGACTGGCCATCCTGTGAGGTGATGATGTTGGGTGAGCTTGTAGCTGGTTTTTGATCTACACTGTGTGGTCCTTTATACAGAATAGGGAAGCAGCACATTGCTGTGTATACCTAAACATGTTTAAAAATACATTGTTTGAGAGGAGTTTTGTAGAAACTGGTAAGAGTAATTATAATATAATGTTTCCATGATTCAGTGCTTACCTCTTGTGAAAATTGCTTCGAGTTGCTTAGTCAGAGTTGATTTGTTTTTTGTATTGAGGCTGGTATTTCCTAAATTGATTCCATGTACAGTATGTCTAACCATCCTGTGAGATGGGAGTATTAGATAAACTTATAGCTAGTTTTTTATCTACACTGTGTAATATTCCATATAGAATAGGGTAGCAGCACATTGCTGTGTATACCTAATCTTCTTAATAAAAAAAATCAGTAATAAAGATTTTAAATTATAGTTTGTATTATTACAAATACAGTACTGTATTATCCTTATTAAATCATGTTGACCATGGATCATTAAGATCTCATGTTGATATGTAATACAAGTCATATTTCTTTTGAACTGCTAATCCATGCTAATCATTCATTAAATTGTGCATTATGTCTCAATTTTTCACTTCCTTGGATATACTGTACAGTACAAAAAGATAGGATAAAAATAAACCAGTAATATTTCTTTCATTATATTTTTCATTTAAATAACTGCATCAATATTTTTACAGCTGACAGGATTTGTTTTCCCATACAGGTGCATTATTTGTTAAAAAAAATTTGGTTTATTGTTACACAGAATGGTGCTACATAGCCTTCCCAGCTTGGTGCCTTCTTTTAATACTTACTGATTAAAAAATAAATAATAAATACATATTATTCAGGAAAAGTACATACAGTTGATTTACAAACATAATGTTGGATTTATAGACAGAGCTATAGTACATACAATACCTAAAGCCACTAATACTCATAGCATTTCGGGCAAGGTGTGGGGGGAAAAAACACAGACTAAAACTTAATAGTAATCGGGATTAGGTATAAATTGTGTTGAAAGAAGGAATAAAAAATACAAAAAGGGGGTTAACATAGCATAAATCAGCAATTGCACATGTTGGTGAACAGCGTTGTTTAAAAAATAGCAAGACATGGGTTGACATTTAGGAGGTAAGTTAGGTTACATGGAGTTAATTAGGCAGTACTTGGTTTAACTCTTAAACTGGTTGAGAGAGGTACAGCCTTTGACATGATTCGGGAGGTCATTCCACATTCTGGGTCCCTTGATTTGTAGAGCACTTCTAGTTTGGTTACACACAGCCAAATTGAGTAACAGGAAGAGGTCTTGGACACAAATTTGTTCCATGCTAAATGTAGAGGAATCAGCTGAGTATTCCTCAAATAAAATAAGTTGCCTCAGCTTATAAGGTAAATAAAATAAGCATTTCTCAAATAAGTAGCTGCCTCACCTCACTGCCTTACTGCTACATAGCCTTCCTTCCCGGCTGCACAAACATCATTTGTGCAGCATATTTTTATTTTATGTCTCACCCAGATTTAATTTCAAATTAAAACCAAACTAAATAAATTAGAAATGGGTATGTATAGCTAAGGTACACCCTTACTACTAGGTGAACAGGGGCATTTGGTGATAGTAAATGATCCCATCAGGCAGGGCTCATCACCTTCTCTCATATTTCATGTTCACCAGTGTTTATTTACTTAATAACTACTGGTATAATATCTTGCTATTATAAAACTAATTCTACTATCATCAAACACATATTTACTTCAAGTTTCAAGCAGAGAATGCATATATAACTAACACGAAGGATTCCTCTTCACTAGATTCACCAGCTATAATATTTTGGTCATGTTCCAATATCATAAATCGATCCCAGTGTTATGTAGTAGAGAAAAAATGACTTATATCCAGTTTACGTAAAGCTACGAGTGGTCGAAACCACACTTAAATCCCGGAATGAACTTACGAAGGTTTTTCCACTTAGGGTAGCTCTTTGAATACGGACGTAGCCGCCACGAAGGCGCTAAGACGGAAAACGTTCTTAGCTAAGAGGAAAAACCTTCGTAAGTACCTTCCTGAATCCGGCCCCTAAACCTTCTGGAAAAGTCCACC